GAAATGTTCACAGATCTTCTTTAAGAAGAAGAAAAAAGTTAAAAATATGAATAATAAATGGCAATAAATACATATCTATTGATAATTACTATATTCTTATTTTTAAATTTTCTTTTTAAATTATAGTTTACATTCAATATTATCTTGCATTTGTTTTAGGTGTACAGTATAGTGGTTTGATAATCATATACTTTACAAAGTGTTCCCCCCTTTATTTCTAGCACCCACCTGGCAACATACATAGTGATTACAATATTATCAACTACATTTCCTATGCTGGTTTGTTTTTGCCCACACTGTCCAGAATCATCTTGATATCCTTGGCACTGGAGAAGGCACTGCCCCCGAGGTCATCTTTTCATATCTGTGTTATTATTATTACTAGAGACCTGATCCATGAATTAGTGCATGGCTGGGGTCCCTTGGCCTGGCCAGCAATCATGGGTGATCGGGGCCGATCAGGGCCATCTCGCTAGGTTCCCATCGGGGCCAATGGGGGCCAGCCGGCTGTGAGGAGGGGCCACTGGAGGTTGCCGGCCATGGGAGGTGGGCTGTGGGAGGGCACTGACCACCACGGGGCAGCTCCTGCATTGAGCATATGCCCCCTGGTGGTCAGTGTGCATTATAGCAACCAGGCAACCAGTCATTCGGTTGTTCGGTCGCTTAGGTTTTTATATAGAGAGATTTTTAAAATATATTTTAAATTGATTTTTAGAGAAAGAGGAAGGGATAGAGAGATAGAAATATCTATGAAAGAGAAACATCATTCATCAGCTACCTCCTACGTTCCCCCTACTCGGGATTGAACCTGCAACCTAGGCACATGCCCTGAGTGGAATCAAACCAGTTTCCTCTGAGTTCATGAGTCGATGATCAACCACTGAGCATTACCGGCCAGGCTATGATTTTTTTAATCCTTACCTGAGGATATTTTTCCCATTGATTTTTAGATAAAGAGTAGAGCAGTGGTTCTCAACCATCTGGCCCTTTAAATACAGTTCCTCATGTTGTGACCCAACCATAAAATTATTTTCGTTGCTACTTATAACTGTAATGCTGCTACTGTTATGAATCTTAATGTAAATATCTGATATGCAGGATGGTCTTAGGCGACCCCTGTGAAAGGGTCGTTCGATCGCCAAAGGGGTCGCGACCCACAGGTTGAGAACCACTGGATTAGAGGGAGGAAGGGAAGGAGAGAAAGAGAGAGAGAAACATAAATGTGGGAGAGACTGATCAATTGGTTGTTTCCCGCATCCACCCCAACCGGAGCCAGGGATTGAACCTGCAACTGCAGTATATGGCCTTGATCAGGAATTGAACCCGAGACCCTTAGGTCCACAGGCTGACACTCTAACCACTGACTCAAACCAACCAGAGCTCTTTTCATCTTTGTATCTCTAATTCTAGCAAATGGCACACAGAGGTTCTCAATATATGTTTATTGGTTGTGGTAATAGTTGCACAACTCTGTGAATATACTAAAAACCATTGATTATACAGTTTAAATTGGTGGATTATATGATCTCAATAAAGCTGTTATTGAAAAAGCAAAACAGCCCAGCCAGTGTTGCTCAGTGGTTGAGCGTCGCCCTAGGTACCAAGAAGTTCTGGTTCAACTCCTGGTCAGGGCACAAGTCCTGGTTGTGGACTCAATCCCAAGTGGAAGGCATGCAAGAGCAGCCAATCAGTGATTCTCTCCCATCACTGATGTTGCTATCTCTCTCCTCTACCTTCCTCTCTGAAATCAATAAAAATGTATTTAAGCCCAGCCAGCGTGGCTCAGGGATTGAGCATTGACCTACAAACCAGTAGGTCCCAGTTTGATTCCCCATGGGAGCACATGCTTGGGTTGCAGACTCAATCCCCAGTAGGGGACGTGCAGGAGGCAGCCTATTCAATGATTTTCTCTCATCATTGATGTTTCTATCTCTCTCTTCTTCTCCCTTCTTCTCTGAAATGAATAAAAATATATTTATTTTAAAAAGGGAAACATAACCCTGGCCAGTGTGCTCAATGGTTTGAGTGTCATCCCATGTACCACAGAGTCAAGGGTTCAATTCCAAGTCAAGAGCATGTACCTGGATTACAGGTTTGATCCCTAGCCCCAGTTGCAGGAGGCAACTAATAGATGTGTCTCACATCGATGTTTCTCTCTCTCTCCCTCCCTCCCTCCTTTCCTTCTACTCTAAAAATCAATGGGGAGAAATATCCTCTGGTAAGGATTAACAAAAATATATACATTTAGATCTTGTTTGCTTTTGCTACAGGGTTGAAATAGGCTCACAGACAAAAAGTACAAGTATACAAAGGAGATGACAAACAAGTTTATTTAACATATACTCCTCATTAGGATCAGTCCAGCCAGTTGGGTGAGTGAATCTTTAAACATTAGCCATGTAGGCCAGGGTGTGCCAGAGAAGAATGTGAAATAGGTAACAAAAGTCACTCAACTGATTTGTGACATGAATATATGAAGCAAAGTAATTTAAAATACTGAGATTTCTCAGATTCTAAGGACCAAGAAATTTAAGTCTTCTCAGAGCCCATTCCAATAAGACAGGCCTTCTTTGCTCTATTCCTGGCTATGGTGATTGCCTGAGAGTACCACGTACTTTGTTATAATTTGTCCCTTCTCCAAGTGAGATTGCTGAATTGGTGCCCACCACCATCTCCTTAATCTAAACTAAGGAACATTCAGAAACTAATGTCCTGTTTTGTTGACTGCTGAGTCGTTTTCTGACTTTACTTGCTATGGTATGCAGAATAATGGCCCCCTAAAGATATCTACATCTTATTCTCAAGAACCTACGACTATGCTTTACATGGCAAAAGGAGCTTTGCAGATGTGGTTAAATTAAAGGATTTTGAGACAAGGAGATTATCCTGCATTTTCTAGGTATGTCCAATATAATCACAAGGGTCTTTATAAGTGAACGAGGGAGACAGGAGAGTCAGAATCAGGAGATGTGATGACAGAAGTAGTGAATAAAGTGATGCAGCCAGGTCAGTGGTTGAGCGTTGACCTATGAACCAGGAGGTCATAGTTCGATTCCCGGTCAGGGGACATGCCTAAGTTGAGGGCTCGATCCCCAGTGTGGTGTGTGCAGGAGGCAGCCAATCAATGATTCTCTCTCATCACTGATGTTTCTATTTCTCTCTCCTTCTCCCTTCCTCTCTAAATAAAAATGTATATATGTTTTTAAAAAGTGATGCAATTGCTGGCTGGCACCATGAGCAGAGCAATGTGAACAGTCTCTAAAAGCCGGAAAAGGCAAGGAAACAGATTCTCCCCTAGAACCTTCAACTCTGCCAACACTTTGATTTTAGGTCTCAGAGACTGATTTCAATTTTCTGACCTCCAGGACTGTAAGATAATATATCTGTATTGTTTCAGCCTACTAAATTTGTGGTAACTTGCTATAGCAACAATAGGAAACTAATATACTTGCCCTACTAATAACATCAATACTAGGCCTGGAGCATATGTATCCTATTTGTGAAGTCCTGTTGCTTTTATTGCACAAGATACGAGTATTGGTTTGGAACAATTGTTTACTGTGTCAGAATAAAATGCTTTCCTTTTGGGCTATGAAACTCCATAACTAAACAATGGAAACTAAAGTTTGATCACTGGTTAATGTTCAATATAGGTAAAGAAAATACAGAAACATGCAATTCTGTCACTGGGATTTTGGATCATGGATTTTCATAATATTGTATATCAATAATAACTTCAGCCCTGGCCGGTGTTGATCAGCAGTTAAGAGTGTCAGCTTATGCACCAAACAGTCATGGGTCGATTCCCAGTAAAGGGCATGTACCTGGGTTGCAGGTTTGATTCCCAGCCCCAATCAGGGCATGTGCAAGAGGCAACCAATTGATGTATCTCTCTCACATTAATGTTTCTCTCTACTCTCCCTCCAACCAATTGATGTGTCTCTCCCTCTCCCTCCCTTCCACTCTAAGGATCAATGGGAAAAATATTCTCAGGTGAGGATTAAAATAATAATAATCCTATATAATAAAGAGGTAATATGCAAATTGACCATCACTCCAACACACAAGATGGCCGGCAGGGGAGGGCAGTTGTGGGCAATCAGGCCGGCAGGGGAGGGCAGTTAGGGGCAACCAGGCTGGCAGAGGAGGGCAGTTAGGGGTAATCGGGCTGGCAGAGGAGCAGTTAGGCATCGATCAGGCTGGCAGGGGAGTGGTTAGGGGGTGATCAGGCTGGCAGGCAGAAGCAATTAGGGGCAATCAGGCAGGCAGGCAGGTAAGCGGTTGGGAGCCAGCAGTCCTGGATTGTGAGAGGGATCCCAGATTGGAGAGGGTGCAGACAGGGCTGAGGGGGGGACACACACACACCCCATGCAGGAATTTTGTGCACCAGGTCTCTAGTAATAATCATGATAATAACTTCACTTGTGTGTTCTTTAACATGTTTTTAGAGGGGAAGATTTAGAAAGGATATAAAGCTGAGACAGGAAGAGCAATTTGGAATAGGGTATTTCACTGAAGGCTTGGCAACAATTAGAAATACAAAGATAATGTCCCAGAGATAAAGGAATACAAGGTAAACAGTAATAAAAAAAGTTCTCATCTAAGATATAAGCAGTAATAGAGTGGTTAAATGATATGGGATTAAAGATAGTAAGACAGAAAACTAAACACCATAAGATGATACCAAGATCAGATCACTGCCTGGAGACCTGATTTCTCTATTTCATTAGTTTCAATTTGATCTTTAGCCTAATATACAACACAACCTCCAAATTTTCCTAACATTCTTTTTCTAATTCCTATGTAAAGCTCTTACAACTGAGCTGTGAGTTATAATCCGGTAAGAAAGCATAAGATTTACAACAACTATGAAAATACTTACTATCCACACTTACTATTCATTGTCTCCATTATTTAAGAAGACTTGTAATGTTATATCAGTTTTCTACCTTCCCCCTGCCAGGTTAAATGTACAACACAGAAAACTCTTCCTTACTTACAACTGCACAGCGTGGCATTTTGGAAGTAATCCCATCTTCCTCTGTTGCCCCATTGGGTCCAGGTGCCTCTTTCCTCCTTTTTCTTGTGTTGACTTTGGCTGAATTCTGTGCATCCATCTTCTTTTAACCGGTCATAGAAAGTGAAAAAGAAACTTTTCTCACTGGGGGAGAAAAAAGTCTGTCACCAGTATTTCAGAGATGTTAACACAGATATACTCAGCAAAAGATCAATTCCATGGCACATATTTCCCAAAGAAGAGCCAACTGCATCTGGCAAAAACAAAGCTTCATAAACACAGGCTCCAGTAGAAACTCTAAATTGATTCTCAATGGAACAAAGGCCACAATTAATCACCTGACCTTGGAACTTATTTCCCTTGACCAATGAAGCCTGCATAACCTACTAATTCCACATCCTGACTGCATGCAAAAGGTTGAAATAACTTGGCTGAGAAAGTTTGTTATACAGCTTTAACAATACCCTTTAGGACACCTGGAGGTATGACCAATGCAAGGAAATGTAAAAGGTATGTCTTTGGTGCAGATGGGGGAAAGAGCCTTTTTTTAAAGGATTGGTTATCACCAATTCCTGGTTTAACAAAGCATGGATTTCTTAACTCTAAATTCTCTGTAGATTTCAGACACCACTCCACCAGGGATCTATGGAAATTGTGGTGTAAGTGTATTGTAGCTTTTAAATATCCTTCCTCTTCCTTCTTTAATATTCATTTTCCCTTCCTCTTTCAGAGTCACAAGCACCTTAAATTTGCTCAGAGTCCCCAACTATTAAAACCCCAACCAGGTTTCTCCTTGCCCCAGGAAAAAAGTCATTACTGTCTCATTTTGCGGAGAGCTTCTGGCAACTAGCTATTATATAAAAGTTCTGAATGTATGATACTTCATATTTAGATATTGGCTTGTGCTGCCTCTCCAATTCCCAGCAAGGATCTGCTTTGGGTAACGTAATTTACACAAACAAATTAACTTCTTGGCACTGATGAAATTTTAGGCATCAGCCAGAAATTGGGGATAGAGGAATTTTAATGATCAGCTGCCTTCTCTGCCCAAGATACACACAGCAAAAGACGGAAGAAAGATCATCAGAGCAGAGGAGGAAAACAAAACAAGTGCCAGACAGAATGAGGACATTCTACTCTGCCTCACTGACTCCAATAAGCTTTCCTGAATAAGATGTTCATCTAAACAACAGCAATTTTGCCTTACTTTCTTTCCTCCAGCTGAATTCCAAGTGGCAATGTGACAAGATCTACAAGAAACCTGACCTAATTCTTAGAGACTGATGGTGACACCGAAGTATTAGGCTGATGTAAAAAAATGTGAGTCTAAAGTGAAAGATGAACACCACCCAGAAACTTCCTTTCATCACAAATGCAAATTAAAATGAAAAGATACTATACATTTAACAAGTTTTTCCAGTGATGATAATCAGAGCTTTTCTTCATTATTGTTATTAAGTATTCTTTCAAAATATCCAGGTCAGTGTTGCTACTCCCATCTCACTGCTAACAATGCCTCATCGGTCCATTTAGTGACCACTTCTAACTTGTATATGAGAAGACTTCTCTGTAAATATCTGCTAAATTCTTCTCAGGGTAAGCAGACAAAACCATTGGAGAAATGTAATCAGCAATCTGGTGTCAGGCAGCTCAAGCTCAGGTGGTCAATATATTAAGTACTTACTGTGTACAAGGTATTCGACATAATTTTTCAAAGTAAAAACTGTTTTCTCCAGAAGTTCTCAATCAAGGTGAGGAAACCACGTGTTTATGATGTAAAAAAGCTCTTTAGAATTCTAAAACCATTGGGCAAAAGTTTGTTGAGGAACAGGATATTTACACAGTTTCAAAGTATCTCCCCACAGATTATTTATTAATTACAAAGGGAAAGTTACCTTTTTAGTGAAAAAATCTCTTACCTGCCCTAGCCAGTTTGGCTCAGTGGCTAGAGCGTTGGCTTGCGGACTAAAGAGTCCCAGGTTCAATTCCAGCCAAGGGCACATGCCCAAGTTGTGGGCTCCCTGGTAGGGGGCATGCAGGAGGCAGCCGATCAATGGTTCTCTCTCATCATTGATGTTTCTATCTCTCTCTCCTTCTCCCTTCCTCTCTGAAACCAATAAAGAAATATATTTTAAAAAAATCTCTTAGCAAGTGATCAAAGTTAATTAACATAACCAATAATGAATGCTTCCTTGTGTGAGGCACTAAGGATACACTACCTGCCCAAAATGCATAACCTGTATGGATTTATGAGGAATAAGCCGACAAACCTTAATTAAAGGACAGTGTACAAAACAAGCCTGTGTTCTTCAAAAAATTTCAATCATGAAAAACAATAAAGGGCTGAAGCACTGCTCCAGGTTAAAAGAGACCAAAGAGCCAGGCCAGTGTGGCTCAGTGGTTGAGTGTGGGCCCATAAATCAAGAGGTCACTGGTTCAATTCCCAGTCAGTGTCCATGCCCCGATTACATGGACGTGCAGGGACGTGCAGGAGGCAGCTGATCGATGTTCATCTGTCTATCGCTGTCCCTTCCTCTCTCTAAAATTAAAAAAAAGAGAGACCAAAGAAATGATAACTAAATATAATGCAAAATTCTTAATTGGGGGAAAAATTGTTACAAAGAATAGTTACTAGGACAATAAATAAAATTTGAATATGAACTGTATATCAAATAATAGACATCAATGTTTAACTTCTCTGATTTGATTTTACAGTGTGCTATGGAAAAGACTGTCCTTGTTTTTAGAGAAAAATGCTGAAGTATCTAGGGATAAAAGTTCATGATCTCTGCAACTTACCCTCAGCAAAAAAAAAAAAAGAAGAAGAAAATATATGTACATCATATTACATTACATATAAAATAGGTAAAGCAAATATGGCCAGTGTTATCTAGGCAGGGCATAAAGGGGTTCATTTTAATATTCTTACAACTTTTCTATAGGCTTTACTTTTATTTCAAAATAAAAAGTTCAATTTTTAAAATGCTCTTTAAGATTTTCTAC